AGACAATTTCTTTGAAGTATCCAGGAGTTTACCTTCTAACTCCTTCTGAAACATTTCGAACTTTTTCTTCTGATTAATCAACTCTCGTTTCTCTTCATCAGAGCTGCTTTTGTCATTCTCCGAAGCTATGTCAAGCCACTTCCTTTTCTCAGTAAGCTCTTTAGCAATTGCTGTATATTTCTTTGAAGTATTTCTTTTCTCAATAGCAAACTGCTTTTTCTCTTCGTCTAAAGCCTTTTGCTTTAAATCAATGCTTTCAGACAGTTTCTGTAGTTGGCTCTGACAGTCTTCAGAGATGTCTTTCTTTTCTTTAACATTCTTGGCTCGTTCCAGAATAATAAGCTGCTCAAAATCCGAGATTTGCTTTAGAAGCATCTTTGCGTTTAGATCGAGAGAGTTAATCTTATTTTCGTAAGATTCTCGTTTAGCTCCAAGCTTTCTTTCAACTTCCATAATCCTCTTCTTTTCTATCTCCATCTCTTTCCTTTCATCAATTAAAACCTTTTCATCTTGTAAAACCTTTTCCTTTTCTAATTCCAATAATCTCCTAAACTCAATCAGATCACTTTCCGATTTATGTACTATAATTGTTAAATCCGCAATCTGTTTATTTAACCTAACTGTCTCTTCTGGATCAGCACAGGTTTTCATCAGTTCATTCAACTTTTCTTGCAAAATTCTTTTTTCTTCTTTCTCTCTCTCAAGAATACCATTCAGATCATTTGACCATGATATATTCTTGATAAAATCAGAATGTACTTTATCATGCTTTTCTTTAAGCTCACGATATTCTTTAGTATAAAAAACTGCCATTTCAAAAAAATAAGATTGATCAGTTGAGGATCTATGCAGTGAAATCAGTTAAAAGAAATCAGAACAGTTTAAAGCTCAAAAAGGAATAAAAAAACAACAAAAACTGAAAACACACACAAAAACAGATATACGATGATCCAAAAAGAAAATCTAAACACAAATGAAAACCACGAACAATTAGAAACCTAAAAAAAATTAAAACCGTTCAAGTCCAAAACAAACTGAGTCAAGTCCAAATCAAGCAATAGCAACTCTTTACAATACAGATGTGGAACTAAAAAAAATGTTAAATCTCGAAATTCTGTCCAAAAGTCCACTTGAATGCTTTTCGTATCAGTTACTTCACTTGGGATGCTGTGACTTGTTTTTTAATCCCAGAAAGCAAAGCCAATTCAGCAGGCTTTCAAATCTTTTAAATCTATCCAAACCCAATCCTTGCTATGCCTTAAAACCTTCCAAAATGTACTTTGATTTACCTGACACAAAAATAGTTGAACAGTCAAATCAATAACACAGTTAGGCTGCTAGCTTGAACAATATAGCCAAGTCTGTTCCAGTCCTTAAGTTCACAAGCACAGATAATGCACAAGGTTAAAACAATGTACCTGTTTAGCTAAAATGTAACCAATTTTGACTATCAAACCTGCTTCTGTTTCAGACTTCTAACAGCAAGACCAAGACAGTTTACAAAACCTGTTTTCAGCATGCATCAATACAGATCTGATGATGCAGTCTTCTCTCGATGACCCTTTATCTCACCTGGGCTGCTGTTCTAGTCCACGAAATCACAAACACAGATAAACAATGAAACAACCAAATCCTTTCGAATTGGGTCCTGTTCTGTGATTGAGAATGACCTGCAATTTACTGGTTCTGGTAACTAATATGTTTAGCTGAAAGAAACTACAAAAAATGAACCAAATCTGTTTTAAAAAACAGCAGCTTCAAGTCTGTTTTAAAAACAGTCAAGATTTCATGTTAAACCTGCTGTTACCAAAGCAGATCAATATGAAACAAGATACAATAACCAAATATGCTCAAAACAAAACAGTTCACTATGTAGCTGCTGTTTCAGACCTCTAACAGCAAGATCAAACAACTTAAGACAGACAATACAACTTGAATAACAACTTTCACTTACCAATCAAACTTACCAAAAACACAAACCTAAACTTGTTGATCAGTTGTTGGGCTATTTATTATACTGTTGGTGACTTGGCTATTTGCATCCAACCCTCAGCATTAGCGATGAATGGTTGTCACTTATGATCTGTCTTGCACTTAAGAACCCTTGGAACTAGCAGTTTGAATGCACGATCTGTTCATATGTGGCTTCTCAAATAATCCAACTGTTACTCTTGGCTTCTCATATGATCAACCTGTTACAGCACCAAACAGGATGTTGATAAAAAACCTGATAGAAGCTGTCGAGGTGATCCAGAACTTCAAAATCACACAACAACGGCTTCAAAACTGCACTCTAAACAGTCAACATAGGCTGCTATAAACAGTAGTAAATCGTTCAACTCAAAGAATAAAATGCTCAATAGACCAAGTACTTAAATCATTCAAAGCAGGTGTAACTCAGGTCAATAAACAGTCTGACCATAAGGAAACATGTAACTATTATAGCCTGACATGCAATTATCAGCCATGGGCAATCCAGCAACCATGAAGAGCTTTTCCTGTGATATTATCTCACAGACAATGTGATTGAATGTAAATCAGCTTCTTTTCATGCCTTTTCTTATCTCCTAAAAACAAGCAGCAGCAGCAGGTTGTAATTGAAACAGACCGATTACCAAGCAGACTGATTGCCTGATTTCTTTTTGCTTATCCGTTAAATTCAAGATAAACGTTCAAAACTCACTCACCATAGAATGTACTTACCACTGTTTCAAATTGAACAAGACAGAACTGTGTGAGGTTTGTGTATAAAGAACAAACACAGAACCTGTGTGTGCACACAGTCCCTTGCACACTGTCTAAATCGAACTAGAGCTTGATATCAACCTGTCACCTTGAATATTAAACCTGTCAAGACTTGAAGCTTAAACCTGTCAAGACTTGAAGCTTAAATCGGACACAACTATGAATGTATATCAAACACAGCAGAAGGCTAAACCGGACACTGCTAGTAGCTAAACCTGTCACTACAAATTGCTAAATCTGTTCACTACTTACTGCTTAAACGGAACACAACAATGAATGTAAACCTGTCAAAGCTTGAATGTTAAACATACATCTTAAGAGTATAAACCGAACAACACACGTCGATGCAATGATTCAACACAGAAGCTGTTGAACAATTAAGAATCCCAATGAAAAAAGTCAAAATGGAATCGATTCTTGTCAAGATATTGAGCAATTTATTAAATTGAATCAATAAACAATGAACAATCAAGAATCTGGGTAAGAGGAATTAAGCGGATTAGAAGTCCGGACACTTCTATGCACATAATTTCTAAGTCCTAAACCGGTCAAGAGTAAGCCTAATCCGGTCACAAATCCGTTCAAGAGTTGATAGGTTTAGATGAACACCGATCAAGAGATGATCGGTCTAGATGAACACCACTCAAATATTAACCCTAAACCTGAGATTGAAAGACTTACCTGTTCTATGAATCCGATTGAATCCTGTCAAGAAGTATGCGGTTTAACTTTGCTCGAATCCAATTGCACGGTGAACAATCCGGTTAAAGAACGTGCGGTTTATCCCTTATCCTCTCAATTTATCATTGATTTTTCTGTGATAACTAGTTCGATGAAGATGAATAAGATGTAACCGGACTCTTATCCGGTCAACATATGATGGGCCTTGAAGATGGGCCAAAATGAATGGTTTAACAAAACAAAACAACCAAACAAAAAACAAATAAATTAAAAAAAAAAACAGATCAAAATTATCAAAAACACAAAAACTAAAAAAAATTTAACAAAAAATAGATCAAAAACACTGGTTTTAAAAAAAATTCAAGAATACGAAAAAAATTTAAAACTACAAAATCCGATTAAATCTTGATTAAAATTGATCAAATCACAAAAGTTTGTGAATAACAAAGATTCACAATTCAATTTCGAGCATTTTGATCCAATTTATAACACGAAAACACAAGATTTTATAAAAAAAATCGGATCAAAATAAAAAATAAAACGAAGAACACGAAGAACATGAAAAATCAGAAAATAAAATTTCACTTATCTTTTCAAGAATCTGATTTCTTCATCTCTGATCTCTTGCGATTCTTTGATACCAGTTGATGGTCCTTATATTACTGATCAATCTTCATAATCTTCACAAACATGGCAGAATCTTGATATAGCTTTTTAAGAACATGAAGAACACTTAGAGAGAGAAAGTCAATATCTTCAAAGCTTAGTCAACCTCTCTTATTACGTATGAAAATTACAATAAGCTCTCTTCTACCAATTACAAAGAATACTACCTATTTATATGGTCAACATATAAAGACAAGTCAAAGTCAAACTTCTATAAGAAAGTCAAACACGCTGACTTTTACAATTATAGACTATATTTAACTTTTAAAACGAATACAATTAATATTGATTTTTCAGTCCTAACAGCTGAGTGTTGAGCGGATTATGACCATGCAGTGAACTGTTTTGAGCTGTTTGAATCACTTCTTGAGTGGATTAAAACTTGAGCGGGTTAAGCATAGTGGTGAGCGGATTAAGTATAGTGGTAAGCAGATTAAGGCTGTTTGGTGATCGATCTTGAGCGATTTACTTTGAGTAGTGAGCGGACTTAAGTTGTTTGATGAGCGGATAAGAGTTGTGTGGTGAACAGATTAACTTTCATGCAGTAGGCGATTTACAGTTCATGTAGTAAGTGGTTTACAAATAATGTTGAGCGGATTTAAAGCTTGTGTTGCTTGAATTATTCCCATACAGTGAACGGATTAACACTCTGCATGGAGCGATTTAAGGAGCTGTGAAGTGAGCATATTGGGTTGTGCCTTGAACGTTTTATGTGCATGTCTTGAGCGATTTAGAATACCTCTTGAGCAGACTAACATCAGACTTTGAGTGATTTACTGTTGTTTTATTAGTAGACTGTGCTTTGAGCATTTTAGACAGCTTGTTAAGCAATTTAAAATATGTTTGTTGAGTAGATTAGAGACTGTTTAGAGTGCAGTTTAGAAGCTATTTGATAAGCACATATAGAGTGATTAAGAGGTAGTAGCTTGTCCAATTTAAGCCCTGTCCTTCTTTAAGCGATTTAAAACAGTGAGTGTTCTTGCAATAGGTGTTTTACATGGTCATACAATGATCAATTAAGGCTGTGAAGTAAGCAGAATTTATTGGTTTGTGCAAGTTAGAGTGAGTAGGATAGAGGGCTGTTCATTGAGCTGTTTAGGAGTCTTGATGTGTGTGTTTTAAATCAGTTTTGCAAACTGTACTTTTAGCAATTTAAACTGGTCTTAGAGTTTACTTTTTGACTATTTTACATCTAGTGTTTCATCTTTGACCTGATAAGGACTTGATAGGTAAGCAGTTTGTATCATTTTTTTTTTGTTTTGTTCATAGATTTTTTTGTTAATTGTTTTTTTTTTGTAGATGTGAACTTTTTTGTATTTCTTTAATCAATTTTTCTTGAACTGCATAGATCCTATCAATCTTATTTTTTTAAAAATCGCAGATATTCTAGAGAAGGAGAATAAGAGTTGAGAGCTCAGATTTGCAAGCTGGAAAAGAGCATAGTGGACTATAAAGAAAAATACATAAACGTGTTTTCTGAGAATCATGCTAGTGTAGAATTTATTGCAAATCTACAAAAAGAGCATAAAGAGGTTTTAGAAAGAGTTGAGAATGGTTTCAAGAATCAAATTAATAAACTTGAAAATTCTCTGAATGACGTAAGAAAAGATTGTGATATTGAATTGAAAACATGGAGTAAGTCTAATAACAATCTATTTCACAAACTCCAAGAAGTTCAGAGTGAATTGAGAGCTGAAAGAAATTCTTCAGGTAGAAAGCATCCTAAAACTGATGACTTAACTGATAAATGTCATAATTCTAAAAATGACATGTTTGAGCTAAGAAAGCTTCTGAACTTAGAAAAAGAAAAGGTCTTAGAAGCGGAAAAGGATTTGGATCCTGAAAGAAAAGTTTTGGAGAAAGAGAAAAATAAGATAATAGAAGTTGAAAGGAGATTTGAAGCTGAACATATATCTTATGAAAATAAGATTAACTCTCTAGAGCTGAATGCAAAAATGTTGTTAAAGCAAATATTTGATTTTGAGCAGCTGATCATCTTGGAACGAGCCAAGAATGATAAAGAAAAGAAAGATATCTCAGAAGACTGTCAGAGCCAAATACAGAAATTATCTGAAAGCATTGCTCTAAAGTAAAAAAGCTTTAGATGAAGAAAAGAAGCAATTTGCTCTTGAGAAAAGAAATAATTCAAAGACGTATAAAGCAATTGCTAAAGAGCTTGCTAATAAGAAAAAGTGGTTGGACATCGCTTCTGAGAGTGATAAGAGCAGCTTAGATGAAGAGAAAAGAGAGTTAATAAATCAAAAGAGAAAGTTTGAAATGCTTCAGAAGGAGTTAGAAGATAAACTCCTGGATACTATAAGCAAATTTTCTGATCTAAAAACAGACCTTGAAACTGAGATGAAGATGAGAACTGAACATAAAATTAAGTTTGATTTAGTTACTGTTGAAAGAGACCAGCTTTTACAGAAAGTCAAACACTTTTCTTGTGCACAAAGCTCAATTGGTTCTCCATCACAGTGTAAAACTAGCTTTTATGACTGTTCCAAATCGAACAGTTATTCAAGAAGTCCTAAATCTACTGTTTCTAATAACTATTCTCGTTCTTCTAATCAGTATTATCAAAGGTATGTTATCAGATCACCCAATAAATTTTCTCAGACTAAAAGCATTTGGGTTAATAAAGTTGATTCTGTTTCATCTCATACACCTGTTGTTACTCACTTTGTTCTTCCTTGCATTATGAGATCCACTGATGATTTGATCAATCTTAGCAAGAGAAGAATTATCTGCTCAACATGCAGAACCAATGCTTTTGTCAATAAGAAAAGGTTCAACAGGTGGCATGGAGATAACAGCTATCAGAATAGTTCGAAAGGTAAGAACAAGTATGATCACAATAACTGGTATGGGTCATATTCTATTTCTGATCATCCTGTTCAAAGTGCTAAAAAGAATATATCTAATAGGAATATATGGTTTGGAAGTTACAACATACCCCAACCCGATAATAACAAAATAGGACCCAAATTCATTTGGGTACCAAAATCTACTTAATCTGGTTTTGCAGGTGTGTCAATTTTGTGCTGATCAGAATATCATATCAGTGATACACCAATGCAAGGGGAGTTGTAATCCAAAAGAGGCTTTTGAACAATTTAGTTTAGGACCCGTGAGTTACCAAGTGTGGTTTCTAAACACTCAATTTAGGACCCGTACTTAAAATGTTTCCATTATTTTTTTTATTTTTTGAGCTTAACTGCAACATTTCTATAATCTAATTCCTAGGAGGAGTCTCTAGAAGTTTTAAATAAATGTTTTTGGAAAATGAATACATTTTTTTTGGGAAACGAATCCATTTTCTGAACATGTATTTCCTGAGATTTTACTTGCGTAATTTCTAATCGAACATAACTCCAATACCTGTTTCAGCTATTCTTCAAATTGTTATTATCACGTCTCATAAATAATATCATTTTCAGTGATAATACGCTCGTTTGTATTCAAAATTTGTTTTCTGATTTCTTTGAATATCAAAATCTGTAAACTTGTACTTACAGATCTTCATTCATTTCTCTCACATATTGAATAATCTGATTTTGAACATCACTCCTTGTTTGTTTGTGCTTAAAAGCCAAATATATTGATCAATTTTTTATCTGATCATTTTGCTTTATTTGCAATAACATTTTGATCATTCATTGTGATCAACTGAGCATAATGCTAAAATTAGGAGGGACTGAGTGCTTAACATAAATACCTCAATGGAATGTCAGAACCGACAAACCTACCCAAGAGGACAACCATACCTGAGTGAGCTTTATATACAAAAGGGTTTGTGTGTTGAGACTAAAATGAAAATGAGAGGTGTAGCTGTTGTGAGCTAAAAGAATTGATGAGAGTTGTGTCAGGATTAAAAGAACATAAGAATCTTGTTCCATACTTCTAAAATCTGGGCATATCACATTATCTATTAGTTCTCAATTCTTTCGAGACTAATATTGAAAAAGGCAAAGCCCAGACCAATTATTGTCACAACCCCACCAGCTACTCATTTATCTGTTAACAGATAAGTGTTTCAATAACACTTGGGGCACGCAACTCACAATCTATCAGTTTCTCATTCAAAGAAAGTTGATATTGAATCAGAAGGATATATGTCCCCCCTTCAAGTCTTTTTGATCACACATTGAGTCTGATAAATTTGTGTAGTCCACACGGTTTATCTTTTTGAGCCTAAACAGAAGCATTAGTTGCTTTATCTTTGTACACTACACAGATTTTGCAAATTATATGTTATTTTACCCAGGCCCGTTTCTGACATTTTTTGGGACCTTGGGCGATTTGTGAATTTTTGGCCCTCTACGTGTACAAAAAAAATCTTAAATAAATGTTTTTAATCATTAAAAAAAACAAACTTTCATACAATAATACTAATAATTTATACAAAACAACTTCTTCAAGTATTTCAGATACAAAATCATCAATAATAGCATCTAATTCATACAAAACAACTTCTTCGAGTATTTCTGATACAAAACCGTCAATAATAGCATCTAATTCATACAAAACAATTTCTTCGAGCATTTTTGGATGCAAAATCATCAATATTAGCATCTAAATCAATATTATCAAGCATGTCTTTTTCAATGAACAATATTGCCAATCCATTCAACCTTTCTTGTGACATTGATGACCTCAAGTACGTCTTCAATAACTTCAATTTTGAAAAACTCCTTTCTGCAGATGCTACGGTCACAGGTACTGTCAACGTAATTCGATAAGCAACCGAAACATTAGGATAACAATCTACAACATTGACAAACTCAAGAATTTCAACTGCGTCATTGATTTGTTTGGCAAAGTCACCTGCAACACCTTTAGCTCAGAATAAAGATCATTTACATCCACATATGCCACAGTATTATGATAAAAAGTATCACTAAAATGAACACAAGATCTCATCAATTCATTTTCATCCAATTACTTTAGTTTATCAGAATCGAATAGGAATCCAAAAATACTTTCAAATTTCTTTAATTGTTCAAATTTATTATTCAATGAAGAAATTGTCATGTCCACAATGGTTAGAAAATAATTAACTCTAAAAGCTTCCTCTTCCGATGCTTGCATTTCTTCTTCACTGTTATTTTCATCAAATTGTTTTTTCCTAATAATACGACGCTTAATTAAAAATGTAGGATCTATATTCATTTCACATGCTATTGTTTTAGCAATATCCATACTTGATGCAAACCCTTCATTCCTATACTTTTCAAAATACTTCACTACACCTTCAAATTGTTCCATGGTAGCATTAATGCACATAGATTTTAATTGCTACCTTTTACTAACCATGTTTATTGCAAATAAAACATCACACCAAACAATCATACCAAGTAAAAACTCAAAATTTTCAATTGCATTTACCAAACTTTCCGCTTCACTTTCCGTTTTGGCATCATCACATGATTTGCATAATTCAAGCAAAGTCGATCTTATTTGAGGAGCTTGAAATCTAATTGCCTTAACACTTTTTATTCTACTTTCCCAACGTGTGTTGCACAAAGATTTTACAGTTAAGTTTGACACATTATCAAGTAACACCTTCCACCTTTTTGTAGAACTAGCAAATAATGTCTATATGCGTTGAACAATTCCAAAAAATGAAACAACTTTAACACAAGAATGAGCCATATCACTAAAAGTAATATTAAGGCTATGACAAGCACATGGCATATATAACGCTTTTGGATTAACTTCAAGTAATCGATTTTGTACCCCTTGGTGTTTTCCCTTCACGTTAGAACTATTATCATAACCTTGACCCCTCACATCATCAACACTAAGATCGAGAGATTTAAGTACATCTAATAATTCATTGAATAACTCTAAACCAAATGTATCATCAACCTTTAAAAACTCTATAAAATACTCCTCTACTTTTATTTTATCACCGGACATATTCACGCATCGTCTGATTAAACTCATTTGCTCTTGATGGCTCACATCCGGTGTATAATCAAGAATTACAGAAAAAAATTTAGCATCTCTAATAATTTTCATGATAGAACTTTTAACATTATGAGCCAAAAGAGAAATTAACTCATTTTGAATTCTAGGGCCAAGATAATGATAATAAACTTCATGATTTTGAATGCGTCTAATATGATCTTGAATTATCACATCAAATTCTCCAATCATTTCAATTAACCCCAAAAAATTACCATTGCTACGTTGATACAACTTCTCATTTGATCCTCTAAAAGGCAAAGAATACTTAGCAAGACACTTCACAACAATAATTATTCTTACTAAAACTTGCCTCCAACGTTCTTTCTCTTTTAAAATCACTTGTTGCAAGTCTTTATCGATTGTTTGGTTTGTGTTAAATCTTACTCTTAGTTCATTCCAAGATAACATGTTCTTCATATGTTCAATACTATTCTCATGTTCTTTAAGTCTCTCACCAAGATGCTTCCAATCTCTAAATCCTTCATTAGCTATTGCATTTCTATAATTMTTAGACTTGAACAACTTACAACAAAAACAATACACYTTATCCTCATATTKTGAATAAAGTAACCATTTTCGATCACTAGTTTCACCATTRCTTAACTTTCTATCATAATAAGCATATGAAAAATGTCTAGACATGTTATCTAAAGGAAACACGATACCCAATTCTCTATTAGGTCCTTTTTCAACTATGATGTCTCTTGATTTAGTATCGAGATTATCCCAATTTCTTGGATCACAAATATCGAAAAACGGAATTGATTGTTCATCAACGGATAAATTTTCATTATTATTGGGGATCTCATGTTCACTCACACCATCAATCTTTTCATTATCTTCACTCATATTTGGATGTTCAACATCTTGTTCATTTGAGGCATCTAACTCTTGATTAGAAGAACCTACAGTTTTTACAAACTTATCCATGGCTCCTTTTTGTGATTGTTTCAATTGTTCAACTAACTTCCTTTTTTTTTCCTTTTCTCACTTCTAGATAAGTACTTATACTTTTTAGGCAACATGATCAATATTTAACACACACAACAATTCAACAAAGTCAATATAAAGATGAACAAAGGCATCTGAGTGGCTTAGTGGTTGAATCTGATTTTGGATTATGGAATACTGAAGAATGAAGAAGTCAACTTCTTTTTTCAATCAATGGTAGTCTGCCATTCAAAATGGTTGAAACGCAATTAGTAAGCAAATAAGTCAATCATATAAGGGTGTTTGCAGAAAATATAGACAAAATATAACCAAGTGTTTTCCACATATCATATTTCATGAGTTAATTTACATTATGGTTTAACTGTAGCACAATGACTACTCTGAAGAGATTATTTAATAGTGGTAATCGACACCTTTGATCCAAATTCTAACTAGTCAGTTTTCCGCACACATTAGGTGCATTCTATCCCCAATACCGAAAAGATCTCGGCAAAAAACAGGTTTCACACAAAACAAACTCCGCATATGGTAAGGGAAGATTCTAAGGCCCGTGGGTGTGACAACTAAGGATTTTAAAGCACTTAGTCGGAATGTGGGATCCAAGTTTTAAACAGCCACAAGACACCAAATTCAAATGGACTAAACCTATTTTCAAAAGAGTTTGGTAGTGAACCAAAATTACTCTAGAACCAAACAGTACACTACAAATGGTTCAATCAAACACCAAAATTCAACAACATTTTAACATCAAATCAGTACACTAACTTATTAACATGGCCCTAAACCCAAAAAGATGGAATACAAAATGTGCGATGGATTGTGGCTGGATAAGATTTTATACAAGAAATTGAACAACAAATAGAAATAATGATGATTGATGAACTTGAACAACAAAAATAGAAATTATACACATAAATAGAAAATAGATACCTTTTTGTTGCTGCCCTAACCCCACCACTTGATTGATGATGAACTTGAACAATTGAAATAAATCTTGAATCTTGAACTTGAATTCAGAACACAACTGCGAGAATTGAGAAACAGTGAACCCAAAATCATAACAAATTAACAATTATTTGTAACACATTAAACATAGAAGTGGATTTTAACCTTAAATCAACGATGCATAGGAAACTTCATTCTGAAATCTCCCGTTTAGCCGCTTGCCGCTGCCGAGTTACCGTTGGATTGCTGGAATCGAATCGTTCAAAGATGAACAGTCGGCTCTAGTCTCGCTCTCGACTCTCGTTCTCTCTCGACTCTCGTTCTCGATTATCGCTCCTCTCAATCATTCGTTTTCAGACTTATCGCTCTCGGTTATTGCTCTAGACTAGTCGCCGATTGATCTGGATCTGGAATTCTGGATTAAGATTGATGCCATGGATAGAGATATGGATTGGGCCCCTTTATTTTGTAAATCTTGGGCCTTTTTATTTATAAAACTTGGGCTTCTTAATCATTTCTTATTAATTTTTTAAACCTAATAATATATATAAAAAAAATTTGGGTCCCTAAACGTTTTGGGCCTTGGGCAGGTACCCAGCCCGCCTTCCGCCAGGGACGGCCCTGATTTTGCCAAAACATTCATAGATATGCTATTTTTAAGCTATCGATGATTGAATGGAAGACCTGGTGAGATGAGCCTTAAAAAGTCTCATTTATACTGTACATCCGTTGTACTGAGTATATCTGTTATACTCACATGTCAATCTTTTTATAAGATTGAAAACAATTTCATTCGTTGAAATTGGTTGTTATCTTCCCATTCTCTTAATCTGAATATATTAAACAAGTGGATTTGAAAAGATCTACTTATTATTTTATGAATTGACGGCTTACACAGAGGATTTTGCTCATTCTTGTGTATGATGGAATGATTCTCATTTCATCATAAGAGGGAGTATGTAAAAATGAATGAAATGTCCAATTCTGAACATTATAAGGGGAATTTGATATAAAGATCATAAGTAACTTCAATAATGGCAAAAGACTCAAAAGGAGTGTGACTGGAGATGATTACAGAAAATTATTCTAATGCTAAAATGACTGAGAGATGTTGAATGTGAAGATCCATTTCTTCAACAACTTATTGAAGATCAACTCTGAAGTTTGTTATTGTTTCTGATCTACACTGTCAAAAGAGAAGATCATCCCTGTTCTACATTCGAGGGGGAAAATGTTAGAAGATATTTCTCAACAAATAATTGTCTGAAGATTTCAAGTTGAAGATTGTTTTTGAAGAAGACATAATGTGCTTAAAGCATCAAGTTAAAACGAGACTCAAAGCGCACAAATTCCTTCAAGTCTGAATACAAAGGGGGAGAATTTTAGGAATGAAATTCAGTGTAAAATTGTATTCGTCTTGAAAGATAAAATTGTCTATAATTGTATAAAAGTCATCGTGTTTGACTTTTATTAGAGATGTTTGACTTTGACTTTGTCTTGTAGTTTGACCCTATATAAATGGTGTTTTCTTTGTAAATTGTGTAGGAGACGTATCATTGTGAGAGTTTATAAAGCATTGACTGTTGTTGACTTTCTTTCTCATCTATCTCCTTCTAATATTGTTCTTGAAGATTTCTTAGATCCCCCATAAATCCTTGAAGATATTTGAAGATTGATTACATTTAGGGACTTTCAGTTGATGTCTCTGATGGTTCATCTTTGACATCCTTGGTCCTTACACAGAAGTAGGTCGTGTCTTCCTCGTTAGAAAATGATTCTTTAGAAGAATCAGCGTAGTCATGTTCTTCAGCGACAAGACCTTTGCCTTTACGCTAAAGATACTTCATATTCTTGTACTTCTCCTTCAGTTTTCAGGTACTTGTCCTTTTGAGGCCTGAAGGATGATGGGAGGTTGGAAGATGGGTCACAGTTTTCTTTGATATGCATTTACTCGCAAAGTGACCTTTGCGTTGACAGTTGTAGCAGCTTGCAAAATCCTTGTCAATAGGGTTTGACTTTGGCTTTTCAATTATGGTCAGCGAAGGAGATCAGGGGTAGTTATTTTTCTAGCAATCCTCGTGAAAGAGTTAGTTAGATGGTTCAGGGACTCATCATACTCTGAAAGATCCGCATCTGGGAAGCCTTCAGAGTTAGAAGGATCTAACTTAGTGATAGACAAAGAAGAAATAGAAGAAATAGAAGGGTCAGTTAAAGGGGTGATAGAGAAAAAAGCTAACGGAGAGCTTTTCATTTCCCTGGAGGTTAAGAAGATTCTTCAGCTAACGGGATTGCTCATAATCAAGCAATATCCCATAAAGAGAACTGAGAGAAAGGGAGGACATGTCCTTGGACATTTTGAAACATATGGTATACTGATCCATGCTTCTAGCAAACATTCAATGAATTTCATCAATGCCTTTGTTGGGTTCGAGTTTTTGAGCTAAAGTATTTTATTCTGTTAGCTCTATTATTCACTTCTTGTAAAAGTATGAAAAAGTATTATGCAAGTGTTAACATAAGGGTATCTTCCACAGAAGACAACAGAGGACTAGCAACAGAAGCTGTTTCATCGTGCAAGTAAAGTGTAACAGAACCTCTGATGTCTCTCACAGAGGTTYAGGAAAATGGTCCTCTGGCAATAAGATCATACAAGTCAATTACAGCAGAGCCTCT